ATAACAAAAGGCCTCGAATATCAAATAATTACTATAAAAGCTACAGCTCCCGGGCAGTTAACTGTTCTATTACACTTGTTTACAGCCGAGTTCGTAATGTGATATTTCGTGATAGATCGGAGGGCGATCGGGAGACCCGAAGGCGTGAACTTCTGACTTGGAACAAAAAAACTATACGCGTTGCATTTTATGTCGACTCGTGACCCGGCCAAGGCCCTGGTCACGAGTAATTATGATGGATTTTCGACATATTTCAATATCTTTTACTGAAATATACTAAAAATAAATACTCTGAACATGCCTAAGGTAAAATCTTCCATCTTAGGTGAATTAGTTTTGAGTTTCGTCGCTAATAAGAAACGCGTGACAGTCTTGCGTGACAGACTTTGGCCCCTTATAACTTGAGCACAAAATAACGAAATGACTTCAAACTTTTTCATGTTAGTCATCTCAATAGTTTCTAAAACATATTTTGAAATTATTATTATAAGATGTTTATTTCTGGTTTTGGTTTTTAGATGACGTCACATGAAAACGAAGAATTGGCTGTGAATAAACGGTCACGCATTCTTGCTTTCACTATGTAATAGAAGTAAAAAATATAATATTCTACGCCATGATATACATTCAAAAATAGCTAGTCCGACTTCACGCTCCAAGAGCGTCTAGTTAATTAATTAATCAGGCTTTCCACGTAAAAGCATGACTGACAAATATACGTCATTATGCAAATGAGCACGAATGATCTTAATTAATTTCTTTCGGAAAACTATACAATACCGTGGTACCTACCGTCATGGTTAAAACTATAACATTGTTTTACAGTCTTTTACAATATGATTACCTTTCAAGTCTATAATACTAATACTAATAAAACACTAAATGCTGACTTATTTTTTACTCCATTCGATCATCGGTACCAGACGTACATCCAACAACAATATGATAATAGGCCATAATAGAGTAAGTTAGTACTGTAGACACATAGCATAGACGACATGTTTAATGCAGAAATCAGACCACAGAAATCAATCGAAAGTAATCGAATTAATGTCGTTGATCCATTGGATTGTTTGGCAAGCATGAAGCACAAAGTAAGACGTTAGTTACCGAGAACGGAGGTATTATTTTTTTCTCTAATTGCCTAATTTCTAGCCTGTTTAATAGTCCAGGTTACCGATATTTCTTTAGCTGTTACCCTCATACAGAGACGTGTAGTTAACTCGACAAAATTGTTTAAGACTTAAAAGAAAAAATTGAATCAGCGATTGAAAAAAAGGTCGGTTTCAAAAACATCGAGCATGGGAGTGCAAGAAATTGGTATGATACTTGTATTAAGGTAATCATACGATTTGAGTTCAATTTGGAAATAATTTGCACTGCACTACCAAAGCCCCTATTGTCAGGAGCTCCTCAGTCTTGTTCTTTTTGAAAAACTCACGAGTGAAACTTTTCCAAATTGCACGAGAACTCGTATGATACCACCTTGTAATATACATATTGACTTCCGCTCTCAGCTGTTTGTTTTGGCACACAACGCCCCCGACTTGTTTCGCGCAACGTTAGCGATAAAATCTGACTAGTACTTTTTCACCGTGCAACTGACGCGGCACTTGGGGAAACCTCAATGCAGGCAGTACACCGAGTGAGGAGCATGAATGCTCGTTAGGTAAGCAATAAACAAACTCAAAAAGAGTTTCAGAGTTTTGCTACATTATTTGCAGTGTAAAGAGCTATACCACTTGGGTGGGGTATGCCGCTGGGACCTCAAAACCCTGACCCTGTTCCAGAGTAAAATTGCTGAAAACGATAGAGCAGAGTCACATGAACCATGAAATAAAAACTAAAAGTACTAACTAATAGGCACTATTAGTTCCTAATAGTCATTAGCACTGAACCAGAACTGTTTATTTGATCCAATAAGCAATACCCAAGAGACCACTTTAACAATCAAAGTAATCTCTTTGTACTGTTCTGGTTCAGTGATAGTGTCTAAATAGTGCCTATTAGTTACTAAGTATTTAGTTTCTATTTCATGGTTCAAGTGACTCTGCTCTAGCGTGTTCCAGAGTAAAATCCAGCACTAGCCAGTCTAGGGGAGCAACGATGGCCGAGAGGTTAAAGCGCCGGTCTATCACCGCTGTGGTCCTGGTTAATCGATTCCCGGTCCGGGACTATATGTGATTTGAGTTTGTAGGCTGGTTCTCTTCCTTGGTCCGAGGGTTTTTCTCCAGGTCCGCTGGTTTTCCTCCCTCCATCAAAAACTAACTGCGAGGAGTGTCGTGAAGTAAAATAATGAATGTTGAGGTAGTGAGAGTGAGTGAATATATAGAGGGCCACAAGTTTATTAGTCTACTCAAAATAAAAGACTTTATTAATTTACTAGCTTGGCTTGCGTGTAGACCGAATTTTTACCCCGCGAATTTTTACCTAGCATCAATAATTCCGGAATTAAACCCTGACCCTGTTCCAGAGAAAATTCGTTGAAATCGATAACCTGTTCCAGAGTAAAAAAAAAAAAAAAAAAAAAAAAATCGCACTTCTAGCTATCATGCTGAGCATATCAACATCAATTCTCTTTTGTCAGTCCGTCTTTGGAGAGTCGAAATTTTGAATTCAAACGTTTTGAGCTTCAGTCTCAGGAGACAATCAAAGGAGAATACTAATATTCAGTCACTGAAATTTCATGGGATGATGAATGAAAAACAGCTTTTACCCTACCACGGTAGGTCTTGTTTTACTAGACAATTCTCTTCTGCTCAGGGTTAACAAGCTGAGCAGTCTCGCTTCGTTCTGATTGGCTGCTTCCTTCTTAAAGGATCATAGAGATGGCAATGATTCACAGATTTCACAAAATAACCATAAAACTATATAATCATCCAAATCGCCCAAACCCGCTTTTCCATTGTTTCATAGACTAACTCGCTCGTGTAAACTAGAACATAAATTAATGGCAAAACGCGTTTGGGACTGTTGGTGCAATCATATGGACGTAGCCCTAGACTTAGTAGTTACAGGGTGTTTTATCATGGATAAAAACTCGAGCGCGAGTTATTCATATATTAAAGTAGCATACTGCTAAAAACCTATTTATCAAGTGCACAGCGTATTTCTTAGATCTACATGTGTCNACCACATTTAAGAATAGTAATGCCACAACAAAATGAATACGATACATCTTTTGGGAACAATTCTCTTATTCTTCTTTAAAACGTATAAGCAATGATTAGATGCTCGCCTCAAAATCACTGAGTCTATCGCATGAGGTGCTAACCTGTTTAGACATGAAATTACGAAATAATAAAAAGATCAATTTTTTCCTCATTCAGTGACTGTCAGTCAAACAGCAAACCCATTATCATGTCTATTTTGGCAAGAGAGAGAATACACTTTTTAAGATCAAACCTTACAGTTGTTGTTTTCTATGTTCTAAACATTGGCTGTCATGATGCACAAATTGTTATTACATTGATTTTCTGCAGTAAATATTTTTCATTTTGTATTGTTTTAAGCGTACCCAACGCGCCAATATACGACAAAAAACTATCACTATGACAACATAAAAGCTTACTCTATATCCCAAACTGAAGGCTACCCCCTCCTCGTCTGTATGGCATGATATGAGTATAGCAAATATATGGGATTGCTCCTAACGAGATAATTAATTAATTAATCATCAGACTCTTTCCACATAAAAGCATGACTGACAAATATACATTATGCAAATGAGCACAAATTATCTTAATTAATTTCTTTCGGAAACAAAATATAATACCGTGGTACCTAACGTCATGGGCAAAACTAAAACATTGTTTACAAGATGATTACCTTTCAAGTCTATAATAACAATACTAATACTGACTGGGAAGGGTGTGAAGTGTGCTTTTGTCATCGAGACTGGTTCTTGATATTTGAAATTAAACGTTTTGAGCTTCAGTCTCAGGAGACAATCAAAGGAGAATACTAATATTCAGTCACTGAAATTTCATGGGATGATGAATGAAAAACATCTTTTACCCTACCACGGTAGGTCTTGTTTTACTACACAATTCTCTTCTGCTCAGGGTTATGTTAACAAGCTTCGCTTCGTGCTGATTGGCTGCTTCCTTCTTAAAGGATCATAGAGACGGCAATGATTCACAGATTTCACAAAATCATCACAACACTATATTATAACGTCCAGTATCAATGTAATCATCCAAATCGACCCAAACCTGCTTTTCCATTGTTTCATAGTCTAACTCGCTCGTGCAAACTAGAACATTAATTAATGGGAAAACGCGTTTGGGACTGTTGGTGCAATCATATGGACGTAGCCCTAGACTTAGTAGTTACAGGGTGTTTTATCAAGGATAAAAACTCGAGCGCGAGTTATTCATATATATTAAAGTAGCATACTGCTAAAAACCTATTTATCAAGTGCACAGCGTATTTCTTAGATCTACATGTGTCGATGCCTTTACACTTACAAAGTAAACACACTGTATATCAAGAATGTTTATTGCAATAATTTCTTAAATATTTGACGACCACAGAATGGACTAAGGGTCACCCTGTAGTGAGGTAGCAAAGCATGATCTTTCATAAATAAATTGGGAATACTACATACAACGAACACAAACGAGTAACTATAGTTTTGTGTTTTTGATTCAATTGTTCAACTTTTGTACAATACACGTTGTGATGACACCGCCTTAGAACTGACAGTTCCCATGACAACAAAAGGTTTCCAACAACACATAACATAATATGAAGTTTGTGGAATCAGCAAATTTTGAATAATTACAGCATTTAACACCACTTTGCTTACCGCTGCAAAAACAATTATATATAACAAGTTAGCTGTCTATGACGTCAAGCATTTCGTCCCTTCAAGAGGTAAATGAGTAGAGTATGGTATTKAAACCATCATTTTTGAATGACATCAGAGGGAAAATTAGAGTATGATTCAGTTGRTCTGTATGACATCATAAGTAAATTATCATTGGTCGACTTCCATGACGTCGGTCGGTGAATTAGCGTATGGCGTCGTACTATCCACATCAACATTGATAGATTCAGGAGAATCATTGGTGCTTGATATGTTAACTACATGTTCGACGCACAGACTACATTTGAAGGATTCCAGAGCCTCAGCCTTCTCGCTTGTCAGTCCTATACACACCAAATGAAACCATTGTTCACATGAATCGCATTGTACCCAGTCCACCTCGTCTCCTGATGGACGGCCGCAAGCCTTGGAAGCACAAACTTCGTCTTCGTCGTCTTCGTCCACATTAATCACTTGCTTGGATTTTCGACGCTTCTTGGGTCCGTCGTTGTTTGATGTGTTGGACGATGTTGATGATCGTCTTGCTGGCTTGGTTTTATCATCCTCGTCTTTCTTGCGGCGTTTTCTTTTCACTTTTTCCTTTTCTTGCTTGATACCAAATACCTGTTGACAAAAGGACACAATTAATAATCTGAATCATTAACATCATCATTAACATCATCTACAAGCCGCGAGGGACTGGTCAAATAGGCCTTACATAACAAGATGAACAATATCTGTTTGGTTTTATTGGATCAAAAAAGGGTCTGGTTACGAGTATGGGCAGAGATCAGCCACTGTCACAACACTATCTYCCTTGCATCATGTCACACACGTTCTTAGGCAAAACTAACACGAACTTCAATCTCCTTTCTAAGAGTGAGTGTATTATACATTGTTAATGTGWCTGTCTAACCTTTGTGTCTTCAAATGAACGTTGACTTCTTAGACACTTCCATAATTGATCGGTCTCGTCAAGTGTTACCTCGAGTAGATCACCTTCCATCATAAGTTCTTCTAGTGCAGCTTTCTTATCATCTGGTAAGACCAATGSACTACTACTATCAACAGTAGTAATATTAGCAAGTCTTAGTAGTGCTGCTGATGCTGACAGGTTTTCAGCTGACACTCCTGATGTCCCTTTGTCTGAGTTCATAATACTGTTTATGTCTGTATCAGCCAGCAGTTGTCTCGCACGGTCTTGCCAGTTCATTGCTCTCTCTGTTAAAAACTGAAGCGCTTCCCCCTCTGGAAGTCTAACAGGCAGCTTTTGTAACGATACAAGAAGTGATAATATAGTTTCTAGACGAGGTCGCCTTGACCTGAGACATAGTGGACACAAGTATTTAAGTTCCTTAGCTGCTTCTAAGCCAGCAGATCCCTTGCCCACAGTCTTGCCGCTTTGTGTACGCGGTAGAGGTACGCATGAACCGTGATACCATTCTTTACACAACTCACACATTAACATGAAGCCTTCGGGACCACGACGACATATACAATACTGGCCGTCGACAGACTCTCCTGACTGACGTTTTGATTCCTCTTCTTTGTAACGAGAGATGTGCTGTTTGCGAAGTTTACTAACAGCTTCCATCTCTTTGAGTTCTCCTTCTTTAAACTGAGCTATTTGGTGTAATGGATCCCTGCCGATATAATCGTCAATTGCTGTCAAATCCATCACTATCTCTTTCTCTTTTTCCTTCTCTTTCTCTTTCTCTTTCTTTTTACGTGGTCTTGGGCAGGATTTATAGTTTCCTATGTCTTTTCTTGGCAACAATATCTGAAAATAAAACAGACGCTATTCTAGACATCTAGGCATCACAGCAAGGACAWAGCTTTGAATGTCTAACTCCATAGTTTAGTAGTACTTCAAAAACACACTTACTTCAAGTAATGGAGTGTTGGAGTTCTTCTTRAGGAAGGTTCTTGCTGCCCTATCTCTCCAGGCTCTAGCAGCAGCAACTTGTGACTCCATCTGGGGAAGCTGCTCTAGTCGAACAGGAATGGGCCGACCACGCATGACCAGTGCTTCAAGAACTTCCAGATATGGATAATACTTATCATTCTATGAAAATACAATAGTCGGTCAACYACTAAACAAACCAATCATGTAACCAAAACAAAAGACATCATCAAGCAACGGTCAGCCACCACTTTCTTCAACCAACCAAATGATCAAATACCTGAACTTTGTCGACTTTGTCTGACCATTCAGTAGCTTTTCTTAGCGATTCATTGAGAGCGCTAACATTAGGMAGAAATACCGGCACGTGGGACGCCTCYTGAACGATGGCTTCTACGGTAGCCATAACATGACGGGGTCTAAACGATCAATAAACCAAGAATTGTATTTAAACAACATCCAATAAATAAACAGACGAATGAGGAAATGAATAATTATTGAATAAGCTACTGAATATAGAAATTCATTTACCTTGCTTGCAGACAAAGCTTGGCCTTTTCTTCCCATTTTTCACCAAGTTGAACCAGCTCCCGCAGTTCACCAACAGCCTTCGATACAGCTGCAAAAAAATCGATTAGGTCAATCCATGTMCACATATCACAATCTATCAATTCATTAAATATCATTACGATATAAACTAGTAAAACTAACYAGGTTTCTGTGCCAATGTTTCTCCTGTTGCAAGTAGTTCTTGTAATGTGTCAAAAGACACAGCTTGTGTATTCTCTAGTGTGACATTCACCTGCTCCAGCCATTTTGCTTGGCAAAGTTCCTATGAATTATTTAATGATTAATAGAAATAACAATAAATGTATATAAACAGATTGGACATCAGTTTTACTTTGGTATACTTTTACATTGTCATTGACTGATTTTCTATACATATTTCCTACTTTTTATTTCATGGTTTTCATCATGATAACGTACCTGTTTCAGTTTTGGTATTTCTGGTAGTTCTACATCTAAGCTTGTACCAGTGTCTAGTAGTTGCTGGAGTCTTTCTGTGTCAATCACTGGTTCTTGTAAGACCTTTTGCGCCTCACACTGGAAGCTTTCAACATGTGTCATTAAATCCTACATCAGTAAAAATAAGACGATCAGTTGAAGAATCTAACGACAAGAAATGATATAAATCAAAGGAATTAGTATAAAAAGTATGGAGCTAATCAATACATGTGATATTACAGTACCTGGACCAAATCCGCTTCTCTGATAACACAAGGTAGACTTTCAAGTTGTTGGCCAAATGCCTGTAACTCATCCAAGCCGAGTTTAGGAGCCTGCACCAGCGAAGTAGGAAGATTGTGTCGGGTTCTGTGTTTTCTGCTCACAAGTTGTAGAGCAACACTTGCACATCTCTCTGCCTCGGCTAGAGTTGACTTTAGAAGCTGAAGGAGATCGCATTCTGGGAACTGACTTTGTTCTGCTGTAACCACAAGATCTTTGAGGTCTGAGACACCTACAACCATAAATGTATAGCCATTAYCAAAATGATTATGATCATCACAACCATCATGTAACCTACCAACTTTACTGTCACATGGCTCCAAGGCCCTTTTGACATCACTTGCCCAGTTATCAAATGAATCAGCTCTTTGTTTTAGCTTTAGCAGCATAGATGGTAGCTCTTTAACTGTGTAACGATACCTAAAAATATAAAAACATTTGCTCAAAGGCTGCAGATGAATCATTCTGGATCATTCTGAAAAATATGTGACAAAATTATATTACATTACGTGCTGTTTGTAGAATAAACAGAATACGTGGTGACTTGGAAAAATAATTTTTGATGAACTCGAAAATCTCTCACTTGGTCACTAAAATCACTTGTGAGAAATGTTTTCAAATCTCAAAGAAAAAATTTCGTGCATCTGAGAAATATCCTGTTGTACTGTACCTTAAGGTTTTGTTTTGTGTTGCACATGAACACAKGTCTTTAGCACAGTCAATGCAGGTTAGTCTCTCTACAAAACAAACAGATATCAGAACAAACAAGACACCAGACAACAGCTCCCAGCCATCCATACCTGGTTCACATGTACATGTGACAGCTGACATGAAACAAGTTGTTTTACAGACAGCACACTGTCTCTCATCRTCAGGAAGAAGTTCAAATGCCTCTGGTTTATCTAATTCTTGGCATCCTTCAGATAACAGCYGCATACGCCGTTTAGTTTCACAATCCACTATACAAGACAGCTCATCGTAAACAGCCTTAGCCAGATCAAGATCTAAACCATCAGGATCAGCAGCCATTTTACACACAAGCTCTTCATGAGAGAATACTGGGTTACGACTCATCTCACGATAATGATCAATGCACTTGCGCCCAATAGGAAGCTACAAACAGGTCACATAAAACATCAATCAAGAATAACTGTGGTCATGTCTTTTATCTTTATTCTAAATTACCGTTTAGTTTGTTGTGATTTGTAAGGCAGTCATGTATTTCACTGAAATAATTTTATACTTAGTTGACTTTTTCTGTTAATTATCACAAATTCATAGAGCTTATTTACAGCATAGCTAGAAATGTATCCTATCTCTGTTTCAAGATTTCAGAGTGGACTTTCCCTAGATTTCAAAGTCTATCAGGTGACCTTCATCAGACCACTGGATAGGAAGATWACCTTATGAATAATCAAACAGTTTGAGAAAACCATGATGTAATGTTTGGTGGATTCATAGTGAATTAGCAAGTAAAACATACCCAATCAGCWGTWGCAAAGTTAACAGCTTCTGCAAGGTTATAGCCATTGTTAAATCCTGCATGATATGCCCTGGGGAATGTAACAACAAACTCTCCTGCACACTGATTTGTCCTGACCACAGGAACCCCTTTAGCTGTAAGGTCATTGGGGTTAATGAGTGTCACCAACTGATGCAGTAAGTCAGGCTGTTCTTCAAACAGTTCTGGAGCTGCTTCTTTAATCGCCATTTCAAACTCTTCAGCGGCATCACCAGGTATACCATACCATGTCTTTGGCTCGCCCCTAGAATATGACACTTGTTAACACTGCTATCAARTAATAATAGCAATACCAAAGCAAGATTACCAGTGCATATAGTTGATAGAGTAGCTCCAGTGGTCTTCATTATGCCAGCAAAAACTGCTAAAACACATGCCCACATATATCCATGGAACCTTACAAACAATAGCAATGAAGTGTCATTTATAATATAGCAATTAATCCATGAATATAGAGTACAAACACTAAAACTGTGCAACATAAATACCACTAAATACTGCTAAATTATGCTAATTCTATTGTTTTCTATTGTTTAATTAACACTGTTTTGTAGTAAATAGTGTAAAGTATTGCACACATTTAATGTTTGTACTCTAGTACATTACAAAAACTCAACTAGTGCTAAATTGATAAAAACATTGCCTTGAACATTTGGAATATATTAATTTTCCCTCTTAACTGTGAATGCAGAGGGTCAATATTATATAATATGTTTAATTACAATCCTATCGCAGTGCAATACAAGAGAAAAACACTGAATTACAGGATGAGCGCAACTGATATAACAATATTTAACAACTAACATTAACAACTACATTACAGATACTTAACAGACACACACACAATATATAACTACTGTATGTTACCTTCATTCCAGAGATATCAGCACTGATATGACATAATACAGATCTTTCAAGGTTGGCCATGTTGTTGAGATTCCATGGAGACATGGCATAATACTAAAAAAATTACAATGTCATACACTTCACTTTTTATTTTATGTGCAGTAATTTTTAAAGATGAATCATGAACTAAACATTAAAGAATCAGAGGCCAGTTCCAAAAGATGAATTAATAAAGTTAGTATGAATTTTATCTACTGGATAAGGATTTCTTTGATGGTCAGCACTATACAGTCTTTGTACAACCAGCCACTGTATTATTGACAAAACATACACCACAGGAATCCCAATATATTTTATTAAAGCTCTTCATGCATTTAATTGCATGACCGTAATTGAAGGTAAACTCTAAATAGTAAGTATTTTGCTTGATGACAAAAAAACATATCTGACCTTGAGATCTCRTAAGATAATCAGTTAATCTCACATCAACTTTGAAAGACTTGACATTATACATGTATGCATTCTAGAATTTTGCAATTTTTCCCAAAAAACAAATTCTGCATGATTTTGAATTTYTCCCAGCACAATTTACTGTTGACACTGAAAGAATACTTATACAGCTAATGAAATGTTCCATTGTCATATTGCTTAATTAATTGTGTAACAGGCCTCCATTTAAAACAATGTAAATAAATAMACAAATCAAAAAATATAAATCAATAAATCTAGCCATACCTCTTCTTCATTAGTAGTAGTTGTACCTTTCCTGGGAAAGCCACTACCATGTTTGGCAGTGTGAAGATCAGCACCATACTCAACTTGAAGCTATAAACAAATTATGTTCATATTATAATATTATACTAAACAAGACAAAAAATGASAGCCACAATGTAGATTGGGACAGACAATAATTCGTATTCAGAAGGCTAATAAACATGACATATGACTTACATCTTCATCCATGGAAGATACTAGTCTCCAGAATTCCTTTTCTACAATCTGTGTTGGAACCTCCTGCATATTTACAAAAAAAGCATTAATAACGGTCATAAACCTGAATTGAAATATAAGACTTACCCTTGGTGGCATTTTGAAGTACTCTTTTTTAAACTTATCAGCTCTTTGACCAAATGATTGTAGAGTGTAAATTTGCTTGGCCTGCTCAAAGCCAAAAGCCTCTTGGGGCTTGTTGCATTCCTGTACAAACAACTACTGTTAAATCATTGCCAGAGTTAAAACATACATAAAATTCAAACCAAGAATCCATAAGTAAGGGTTAAGGTTCTAAGCTAATTCAAAGGATGATAATATAATACATACAACATGTATATAATGCATAACTTTATTGCGTCCTTTGACCTCCATTGCAATGGTACATGTTGTGATATCTTACCTCTGCCACACATCTAGGGCATCTCCAGTCACCCTTAGGTACAGATACTAGTGGGGGTATCAAGCAATAAGTATGATAACTGTCATCACAACCATCACACAGCAACATTGAACCCTCAGAATCCCCCTTAGTACAGACTTGACAGACATACTCTTCTAATAACTGTAAAACAATGACTTGCTATCAGTTGGTGGATTTCAATATAGTTTATTAATTAAATTAAATGTTGGTAATTCAGAGCTCACCTAAATACCCTATTTTATAATGTTTGAAAATATAGAGGTCCCAACATAGTCAACAACTAACAAGACAATTATAACAACTAGTACGTACCCATGATTTACTGGAACCATACACTTTACTGGCTTGTCTGACAGGTCTTCGTCTAGTTAATTCTGGTTCTTTACCAATCTTAATGTTTTCCATCTTTAACTTGCCACTGTCTTTGTGTTTACTAAATCGTGTTGACTTAGCAGGAGAACTATCACCTGCATAAACTTTAGGACTCTCTTCCAATGGTTCTTTCTTAACCTCTGTTGTRCTGGTATTATTTGTATCTAGAAAATAAAAACAAAGCAATCAAAAACAACACAACAATATAGCAACTGAGTTAAAGCTCAAAAGTCTATCTGCAGACACTTCTGAAAGCAGGCAGTTCTATGGACAGCTTTCAAAAACCCCATACAAACACTGTGTTGGCTCTTTCTATTAAGCAAACATTCTCGTAAGAAGATGTGGACACTTTCGGCAAATCCAAATTGACCTTTCCTATTGTTTTCAAGCTCTCATAAGCACACACTCATTGCCCTTGTTTACATCATTCTAAAACTTGTGGGTTAAACTAGCTTGTGAATGCAAAAAAAATATGTAAGTTCAATTTAAGCTACATAGGTTTGTATGAGTATATCAGTGTGACACTTGCTTTTCTCGCCACAATAATACAGTTGTTATACYTCTCTTTGCTTGGTTTCTTTGAGAATTCATAACTTTAGTGTATTTTTCATTATCAACTGGCTTTTGCGAATCTTTTTCTATAAGGAGGAATAGTTCTACTTAAGGACACTTTTTTTGTTCCCAAAGTGTCCACTAAGAGAGCTTCAACTGGATATTTTTATTATAATATGTAAGTAATATGTATGTAAGTTTTTATATGTCAAACTGCACAGCCATGGTCCCTTTCAGTAATGTAATATCTCTTTGTCAATCAACATTCTTCCCACAACAACAGCTGTAAATCTATAATATGTAGCTTTATCGACGTCATCTTTAGTATTGTACTCCTTTAGAGTACATGAAATMGATGGTAGCTTTATTGACGCCGTAAAACCTATACAAGTTTACAGCAATGTTAAATGCGAGTCATACGGAAAATTAAAGCTTCAAAGCATTATGTTACTTACATCTTTTTTGGGTTAAAGACTCATTAAATACAAACTAATACTGAAAACAAGATTGCCATGCCGCCATGTTGAACTCTCRCCAAGACTTATGGGGCACAGGAAGCCCAAAAATAATACAACAAGTAAATAAACAAGAGACAGTATGGTGAATAACTAATTAATTACAACGATTCCGAAACAAGTATATTTGTGCACAGTACCTTCTTTCTTGGATGTCAATCCAGACATTTTGGGTCCAGGTGCAATAAATTGCAGCTTCTTTAACTCTGGATTACTATCATAGTCAATGTCAGATGCCTGGAAATCAAACACATATTTTTAACAATMAATAACAAGCTCTGACTTATGGACKATTATGAACTYGTACAGTTGTAGTTTATGAAAACCAAGTGATTTTATTGTAAATTTTCACAATACACCATCAAGAACAATGTTTCATAACATTTATTGGGCTATTTTGGTCTATCCATGGTCTATCATTAATATATCATATTTGACTAAATAAGAAAGGAAAGAAATAGTATTAACTAGTAACAGTGACTTGTAGCATTGACATTGAATGCCAATGCATATTTTTTAACAATTGTCTGCTAAAGCTTTGTTATGACACATCTTTTCTTTCTAATTATTTAATAAAATCCTACATATTCAAACTAAATAAAGTTTGAAGGAAAGTTAGTAAACATTTTGCTGATCAATGTTGATAGCCCCTGCATATTTTTKATCTACAATCCTCTGACCAGTACTGTTGATATCAAACTCTCCTTACTCTTGCTTTACACAATAAGTCAGTATAAGAAGCCAAAACAATATTTCTTACTGAAGCAKCCTCTGGTCTTCCTCTCCTTGATCTTCTGGATGCTTGGTAGTTGGTATTTGGTGAAGGTAAAGGTATTTCATATTTCTCTTCTCTCTTCATCTGGTCCACAGTAGGCTGTGACATACATTTATCTAAGTATAGTGGTCTTAACAAGACTGGTAATAGATGATACATACCACTGCTTCTGCAGTAAATGCTCCAACCATAAAGATATCATAGGGGTACAAGTAYTTCTCATAGTTCATTCGTAGCAACGAGGGGGCAGATTTGCCAAGAGCATAGCCCATCTAAACATAAACATTCATGATAAATTATATGTGAAAAWGTCTGAGTTTAAAAATCATTAAGTATTATACATGTCATGTTATAAATTAGACAAGAACACTTTAAAATATCATAAGGGGAATGAGTTGGATTCAACTGCTAATTTACAATGATTATGTTATAACATATTTTAAAGTCTTATTGTTATTATCCTATTCTGTTATTGATACTAGACAAATACAGTCCCTGTAACACTATAACAATATTGAGSGTAAAATGTTATAATATGTGCTGTATATTTCAATATTATCTGGCAAGAAACCAAAAAATCTCAGACCTTTCTAGCCACATTTGTCCATTTCTTCTTCCTTGTGATATACTCGAATCCACCTTCTTCATGCACAGTCTATGATTAAAAATAACTTAGAGATAAATGACATTTACATTATAGATCAAAATATATGGCAATTACTTCAATGATTTTATAATAACATAATACAAGCCACTCCATGAAATGCCAGTGTTGTAATGAGATGGCTGCATTCTCTTTGAGATCATCATATACTGAACTGTTGTTATTAAAGATACAATCAATRTGCTATATAATACTCATACTTCTCGAAGAGTCCTACTGATTGCAGACATACTCAGTTCTTGAGCTTTGTTAAACATAAATATCAATAGCTGCCGTTATAAGGGGTTATCCAATATGCCATAAATGAAGAATGGTTTACAGATATTAATTAAGCTGAAAGGTTTTGTCATTACCATGTACAAGCAATGTGCACCAGAAATGTTGTTCAAGCTTACCTTGTAAAGTCTGAATAAATCTAAACTTTTCCTCTCAACTTGTGGAACTTTAAACACAGTTCCCTAAGAAAAGACGGTATTGAAAGTGAAAGGCCGATCTTCAAAAGGAAGGAATTTTAAATGAGATATAAAGAAACATGGCGACTTTTTCTTTTCAACAAAAGTTAACAAAATGTTCTTGTACTGCGAAGAGAAAATCAATACTTTTTACCTGGAGTTCCCAAAATTTAGCCAGACCATCAAGGAAATTAAGTTTAACTCTTGTTCTGGCCTAAAACAAAAGTCAGAAATTCATTTTAAATTGTGAAAAGCGATGAATTGACCAGCATGTTTTTCTTCTTGGCCCATGCATGCTTTAATCTTTCTACATAAACAAATTCTTCATTTAGAAAATATATCTTGCTCTACTTTGTTCTAGGGTATAATTACTAGTAGCACGTACAAAAGAATGGTTTTTGGTATTTTAGTATTTCGGCAACAGAGCAGTGCCAAATTTGGGTGTTTTGAGAAAAAAACTTTACCTCAAGTTCATTCAGACGTTGTATTCGTGGCGTAAAGGTAAAATTGTCAACGTCTACAGCAAATGGAGGTCTCCAATCCTGAACCAAACAMRATAATTACATATCAATGAGTGTTTTAGAGTTAAAAAAGAGATAATTCATGTTGTAGAAACGACAAAAATAAAACATGAAAGAGTCTAACCGGGGGTGGTCGTATCTTGCAAATACCAGTTTTCTCGGCATACGGTCGAATCTTGGCGATATAAGCCAAAGGGTCCTGGAATTCCTCTTGAGATGGCTCAAAAACTGGAGCCTCTGGTGGAGAAATAAAGGTGAATTCTTCGACATCGTCCGTCATGGTCATATAGGTTTTAATTTCGTGCCAGGCATTACGACAACAAAGAGTTTCACTAAACCAACGCCATATTTAAAATGGACTAATCATCTCATCTGATGGCGACGCGAAAAGTATTTATACCCTTGTACCACGTGATATGAATTCTACGCACTGATTGGATATCTCATTCATGTAAATTAATGACCTATTACGTATATTCCCTACCCTCCCTACTCCCCTGTATCCTGGGATGCACTTCCAAATTATTTTACATTTCACTCTTTTGATTTCGGTTCAAAAACCTAGACCSCAGAAACTTATATACAAAATAATTTCATTTACTTTATTACAATATGCAGAAAATTATCAAAACTAAATACACGGGTAGATCAATGCAGATTTTTAAAAAAAAGTAGCCTCGACAATGGGCACATGACGTCTTTGTTTTCACACCATTGCTGCATTCACGATTATCTCGGGGAGGAGGTGGAGCAATAAGTCATTTCCGCCAACAMAGATTTCGTGACTAGTTGGACGCACATCCATGTAGATTGGTATGACGTCATACCATGACATACCGAAACCGAGTAGAAAGTAAGGAAAGAAAATCGAAAGAAAGAAATTCCGATCTTAGAGGCAAAGACTAATGATAATATTAAAATAAGTAATTATCGGATGACAAGAAGCTGTAATTTAGGGACTTGAGTTCATTAATGAATAGGAGGAAGGTGGGGACGGTTGTACCGGCAAACGAAAGGACCAAAAAAGTTTCGCCCCTCTTGACTCCTACGTAGCTCCAAAAACATATGMAGCCCCTCAGCAAATTAAAGGTAAGGCCAAAAATTGTCCATGGATAACAAATACTTTCTTGTAACAAATATTTTWTTAATGGCAAATGGATATTTCTTCATTGAAAATCTTAATCTTTTATATCTACAGGACTTTACCCTGGTTTCAGAGGCTTCTCTTCTCTAAAGAAGAGGAAGAAGAAGAAAAGAAGAAGAATGATGTTTTGTTTTCGAAATATCAATGAAATCACTTATGAGTGGTCCAATAGCAGAAGAAAAGCAGTCAGTGACAAATTAGTTTTATTTTTTATAATAAAAGTACTGACGAGACTACCGTGTCAAAATAAAGTATTATTATTATTATCATATTAATAATTTAATCAAAATCTGCGACAGCTCGTTACCCGGGTGACAGTGTGTCAATATTTATCTAGAAGACTGCAAAACAAAGCGAAAAAGCGCTACCTGGTTTACATCAACCCTCGAGTCTGAACAGGGTCAGGGTTTAGAGACCTTTAGTGACCTGCGTATATCCGGTTTATTTTCAAAATTTAACGACGCAGGCGCGTAGCGTGAACTTTTTGGCTCGTACGCACATGTCTGGCACACCACAGATATTTTGGATATGGACGATATGGGGGTCTAACGACAGCCAAAAGCGCGAGTATTAAGGGAGTCTGAACCTCCCCCAGGAAATTTTAAAATAATAACTCTTGGAAATKCGATTTCTAGCGTTTTGAGAGACATAGAATATAAAAGGAATCAATTTTATGTGAATTTTTCATTAATTTTTGTAAAAAATCCTTACCTTATCCGTCACGCACACGTGCGTGACGCTACCCCCCTGCCGACGTGTTTACGAGTAATCGATGAAACTCATAGTTTAGAGGTACCAGCGGAAAGACCCCGTCCGATTTCTGTCGACTTTCCATTGACCATTGATCTTCAATTGAAGTTCACAGTAAAAATCGTTAAACTTATGAGGGAAACATTGCGTCAGCCTCTTTATAAGCATTCAGAGCAACTCATAAAAAAAAATAAGCGAGTTCAATATCTACTGCATAATGATTATTGTTGCATCCGTAGCAWTCTTGACAACGTTTTCCAATTTTTTTCAGGTCTTCTATTTCGACGGCATTTCGTGAGATTTTTTCTCCCTCCTGTAAATGTAACTTTTTAAAAAAGCTTAGTTTTTGTGAAATTTATTATATGCCATGATATGCGATGAACAAAGCAATTCTTGCTCCTTGTAAAAAACAATCTTCTTTGCAACAGCATCCGTCTTTTCCATCCACTGACCTACATAACTGAAGGCTCTCCTAACATTAGCATAATTCGTTACAGCGGGATGTTCAAAATGGCGTCCGACTTTCGTGAGGATCAGGTGGAACGCTCGCCATTGCCTACTGTTAACGAACGATTAGGTCATCTAAAACCTTCAAAAGAGCTTCTAGAGTACTACAGAAGAAARATTGCTGAATACGATGGCGAACACGAAGAAATGCTCCAAAAACTGGACTGTTATAAATGTACTTACGAGGAGCAAGTAAGATATATCGAAGCTGCTGTTGTGTCGTTTCAAAAACATSGATCTTCGACTTTTGACAGAGCGCAGATTTTTTCTTTAGTATTTAAGTTTAATCCATATAACCAACTATACTATTAATTCGTTTTCACTTACTCTACGAACAGATCTACTTTTCTCACCCGCCGAGAAAGCGAGAGAAGTATCGTAAAAAACTAGATAGAAATTAAAGTAGATCTCGGAGGGTGAGAARAGTATATCTGTTCGCAGAGTATTTTCACTTGGCCGTGAGAAATAGTCAGACTACAGTAAGTTATAACACTGTAGTTGGCATCGATCACACTCTAAATTTGTTTGTTTTTTCTTTTTTCGCAAACAACAGTAACAGTCGTTGCATTGACCATGTGAAAAACGAGCAGAGGACTGGGAATGAGCACATTAAACGCTCCATATATGTTGTTTTCACCATGGAGTATATCTCAACTAGTAAATTGGCAGAGTTTTAGTTTCAAATGTTGAAYATCAGCAGAGCTACAAGCATTTGAAATGTAACAAAAACGTGAAAACGAGGTTGGTCACGCCTCCATACTCATTTTCACTCAAACCTTTGCAACTTCAAACACCTGTAAGTTCTGGTCCTTAAATGTTATAGCATTGAAACTTTCAGATCTTATTCATTGTGATGTGTTCTTTCAATGGGTAGCAATGATACAATAACAAATGTATAAACTAAGGAGTTACGATAGCCATGCCCTTTTTCATATGGTCTATTAGTCAAATGAAAACAACTCCAACAGATATAAGTTTATTCTAACTCCTTTTTTTTTGCTTGAAGCACAAAACCCAATGGGAGCTAAGGCAAAGAGAAGAAGAAATAGCAGAGCTACAGAAGGCATTGAGCGATATGCAAGTTTATCTTTTCCAAGAAAGAGAGCATGTACTGAGACTATATGCTGAGAATGATAGACTAAAGATACGTGAACTAGATGACAGGAAGAAGATCCAACACTTGATCAGTCTTAGCAGAGGAGGTGAAGCCGAGATAACATACTTTCATCGCCAACCCCCTGCTAGAGCAATTGTGACAGAACATAAACCATCGCCTACTAAAGGAGTTGTAGAAGGACGTGGACCAGGAGGTCATAAGCAAGGTAAGTGCTGTAAATCATACAATCACAAKCTTRCAATGCAAMAGGATGGAAAACCATGACAGCACYACCAAATCTAAAATAAGGTTTTGAGATATCTTGCATTGCTCTCTTTGAGAAGARAWGACCTTTTATTACAACATGGAATCATTCCTACCCATCCCACAAATAAAATTCAATCTGTCTCATATGAATGTCAAAAATTGGCCAATCAATGTTGACCATTTTACCTTAAGCTAAAAACACTAAACTTCCATATTGGATTGGGTTTCACAGTCAATACAATGTACTATTACAATACATTTATTTTTTCATTCTTGTTACAGYTCATTGGAACATTAGCAGATAAAGATTAACTAAGTGTTGTTCAACAATTTCTTAGTTTCTCTTTTCCTAACTTTTAATAAGATTTAAGAATTTACCACTTTATTGACACRCTGAACTGCACTCGTAGAATATTTTGCATGTTAGTGATAAATTTTGCTCATATATGAATTCCATGATATTTGTCATTTCTGATTCATATAATTTTAGGTAGTTCCATTAGAACTGGTGATAAAGAGGCATCTGGCAATGTCCGCCCTCCATCAAAGGACAGTCAAACACTATTACTTCAAATAGAGTCACTACAAGCACAATTACAAGAACAAACACGGACAGCAAAAGAACAACTTGATGCTCTTTTAGAGGATAGGAGGGTGAGAATGGAGGAACAAAATGCACAGAGAGAYAGGGATTCTGATAAAATAAAAACACTGCAAGATAAACTACATGAAACCCAAAATTTACTTTAYGAAAGTACTAAAGATTTTTTAGAGTTGAAATATGAATTGAGAGCGAAAGAAAGGCACTGGATGGTTGAACGGGATCAATTTATTAAAAACATTGAAGGCTTACGGGATCAGTTGGACATTTCAGAGATGAGTAGTGTTTTGGAAGTATCTGGTGAAGTTTTAGAACCTCGTCAAGCTCAACAGTATGCATTCCATTCATTGAAGAATCAATTAGAACAGTCCCAAAAGCTTGCAGAAATGTACAGGGAACAATGTATTGGTCTTGAGGAGGAACTATCAAGAATACGTGAAAAGAGTGATGTCAGCAAAGAAGTTTTTAAAGAAAGAAGTGAAAAAATGGGGAAAAGATTGGGTCTGATGAACCAACGATATGAAGCACTGGAAAAGAGAAGAGCGCTTGAAGTTGAAGGATTCAAAAGTGACATTAAAATGCTAAGGAATAAACTTAAAAATGTTGAGAAACAGCTTTTCAAGGTAAGAATATATCTAGTCTCATTCTGCAACATTGAACATTCAAACTCAAAAGTTATAAAAGYGTGTCTTCAAAGAAAACTATTAAAATTCTTTATTTGTTCAAAAGATAATGACCAAAAACTGAAACTAAATGTGTGCGCTACACAACAGAAATTAAACTGTGCTATTGGCTAGTAAGTGCGAGAGCTGCACTATCGTTAATTYGAATCAAACAATTTTGTATTTGTTCACCCTGAAGATGTTCCAAAGCTTGGCTTAAATAAACCAATCAATATGTGGTTGATACTTAGTTTTTAGTCAATATGGTTGTTCCCACATAACACAATATTCTACATGTAGACCTCTGTAATATGTATTTCCCTCCAAACACAGGTAACTGTCAACATTGGTGATGATTATGATGAGCAAGTTTTACAGAATGTCAGGAAAACAGCTGGTAGATCAAAGAAACTGATAGGTGATCTTCATAACTTGAAGGCCAAGATTTACTCATTAGAAAATGATATACGTCATGTTGGATAACAGCATGGCATGTATTGATGGTTAAAGGGTGATATTTTCAAGTATTGTTCAGGCATATACACAAGCTTACGAAAAAGTTGTCTAGGAGAATGGTGCATGTTAAAGCAAAAGTACGACATGTTTGATAAATGAAATTATTATAATAATAATAAATTACACCAGAATTTCAGTAAATAATTTAATTTCTTTGCTTTTGGTGTGAATTGGCATTTCACATCAACACAAAGAACAGGGCTCARAATAAGGGCTGGACATATGCAGGACAAGATGTCCTTCCAAAATCATTTTTGGAAGGTCATGTCGAATTTTGAAAGGACAAAAACTGTATACTATTATTTTCCTCAATGTGCAGGGGACATTGCCATATTAATTCAAATTAAAACAAGACAGTGTAATATCAACCAGAAACTATTGGAAGCTATTTAACTCATTTCAAAAGTAAGAAATGTAATTAAGTTTGTAAAAGATTTGTTTAGTATTTTGTCTTAAAATGTAGCAGGTCAATTTGTCCTTTCAAAATCCGATTTGGCCGGTCATCTAGCGAATTTGGAAGGACATTGTCTTTTGACCGGCCRTTATTTTGAGCCCTGAACAAATGGTGAAGTTAGTTAAATTCAATGTCTGAATGCTTTGCAAGATTTAGAGCTGTTCAATCTGWTGTTTTTGTTGTTTTGGCAAAGTGCATCATSGTACTGATGTTAGAGATGACAGATGTGTAATAAACAATGCATAGGATAAAGTTATTAACTGGTAGTGCTAATAAAGGTCAAGTATCCTTTAGATGCCCACTACATCCCAGAATTATGTTAAAGACCTGTTTGGGATATCACTAATTATTGTTTGAAAAAAACGACAGAAACAAATTAGTAGAGTTGTCCACTACTGTTAGAACAAAGATTGTGATGTGATGAAATAACAAAGGGAGACAGGCAATACAAAAAAAGATGTCCAGTAGAAACATCCTATAATTCTTTGTTTTTGTTGTCTTGATCAATCACAAGCTTTGTTCTGACGGTAGTGGTCGACCCAATTAGTAACAGCTCAGTTTGAACTTTCATCAAATATCCCATACTGCAACTCACCAACACCATTAACAGAGAACCATGTTTAATCCATTGTTTTATGGTCAACCTTCTTGCAAGATAATGATTGGCTGAAACAAATTTTGATTGAAGGCATACATTACAATAAAAACTTGGGACTAGTTGAAATACAAAGTAATGTATAATAGCCAACTTTAGATATTTTGGTTCAGTGACCATGCACAAAAGAATTGCAGACAAGGCTCTGGGGAAATAAAAGAATAAATCAAGATTATCTATTGTTTTCCCGGAGCCTCGCATTCTTTTGTACAAAGCTATCAAACCAAAATATCTTAAGTTGACTATTTCTTCACTCTGAATGAATCCCAATCATGGAGATACAAAACCTAAAGCTGTATGACTTTTGCCCTAAGGATAACTTACAATTGGTTTGACAAAAAGCATATTTTGTGCTGTTAGAAACCCTTTTCCATTAAAATAAAAAACATTACTCAGTGGATTGTCTTATATTATGATTTAATTTACAAAAAATTGTAACAAAATGTTTTGCACAATATAATGTCTGCAGCCTGACACTTAATTGTGTAGTACAAATATATTGGTATTTTAATTTACCCTAAATTKTTTTCGTCATTTTTTGCCCTTTGAATTCAGTTTCATTGCATAAAAAAAAGCATGCATAATTAAATTCATGTGATTTGGAGCATTTTGTCAAACATCATGTATCAGTTCTTCCAATATTACAAAAGCGTTCAAATCTCTAATTTGCCAGGTCATTGATTTTTACCCAGAAACCAGTTCTGGCTAGTAGCGATTCGTGAAAACCGGTTGACGACAACTTTTTGTTAATCAACTATATAATTATCCACTGTGTCTGGCTTGCTAGATCTGACTAAAAGGAAATCAGTCATTTTTTGACTAATTTTGATTAATGTCTAAAATTTAAAATGCATTTAGCAGTTTATAAGTTAATTTTTTGAGTTATTGCTTTGAACGTGTCACACGCTTATCTCTCAAAAAACGTTTGCAGGTTACACACGACCATGCCAAACGCACAATGTTGGTATCAATTTGTTTCGAAAAGAWTGATATAAGTTGCATGAATATTTTTGTATGTACTTGCTGCAGCACCATATCTTTCCTCATCGCCTGACATAGTTGACATTTTGGTTTCCGAGCGATTCCAAGCAACTTTGCAAATTCTCACTTTCTAATTGGTTCCTACGCTCTAATTGTGTGAAGTGATAAGTTGCATGACCATGTCACATGTACATTTTTACAAATTTAAAATTATTTCAGAAAGTAAAAGTTGGTTCTACTTTGGCCCAGCAAAAAAATATGTTTTAATACTTAGTTGCGGRATGTCAATCATAAAAAATGCTCGTGCAACCTGCAAATATTTTTTTGAGAGACAAGTTGCAGGAGAAATCCTAGTGTGTGACACGAGCTTAAATTTAACTTTTGAATTACGGTAAACTGAAAAACAATAAAGCCAGACAAAGGGTTTGGAGTTTTACATATCAACTGGACACTGAAAAGTTTTGACTTACTTAACAAAAAAAGTTGCTGTTCTTTTGATCGATACATCTAGGTGCTTCTTGTAAAAAATATATGCCAAAAAACTTATTCATTTATCATCATAGTCTTTGATCTAATAACAAGCTTTTAAATGATGTATGGCTTGCTGRTTTTAGTAGTTGAGAATAGATTTTTCTACTCAAAAATTTGACAAAAATAATCAAAAAGAATGTGTTCTGATGTTTCAGAAGTATTATTAAATCGTTCATAATTTTGAATGCTGCCAAAAAATATTACATTCATTCAATCAAAGTTTTATGTATTGTCTGAGGGCTGCCTGCTCCACGGCTCAGGGTTTTAGGTTTTCGCCATTTCTTGAAAATTCCAACTTTAGCAGATGCTGAAGCCATAGACTCATTATGTGGCGATGGATTATTTGACCGACTAGAATCCTAGAATCATAACACAATACAAGTTACAATATTGATGAGTCTGAAATACTCTACACATTCAGCTCTCAGTGTTAACTTTAAAAGGTAACTTTGCATCAAAGTCAGACGGGTTGAATTATCATAAACTAACAATAACTTCATCCAAATATCAACAAATGTGACTTACCCCATCAACAAAAGCACTGTCCAGTGATGATGAACTGTTACATCGTTTTATTGCTTCAGACTCTGATGARAATGAACTATCTGCATAAACATAACACTCTGTCAGCTTATGAGCGCATGAATGCTGCCCAGAGGGGGGGTTCCGGAGTAAAAGTACCAGGGATGCTTGTCAGAAATTTTCAAAAAGACCCCTAAAAGGTCACAGAAGCCTTGAAAAAAGGGTGTGGCTGACTGATTTTTACCCCCTAAGAGATTGCACAACAAATGCTGATTTTATTGGTTGGTGTTGTAGATATATCCATTTGGTCTTTTTCTTGAAATGTTTGTTTGGCAAATTTTTATTTGACATTGCATGACTTATTTGTTGGTCAATTTATGATTCTTGGTAGGTACTTGATAGACATGCTGTCATATACTAACCTGCTTCACTCATATTCARCATGGAGCTCGACAAATGTCTGGACTTGACAAGACTACTGGTACTTAAAGTTGCTGATGACATGGATTCTTCATTTAAACTAATTGTATCATCTGCTGGGAATGCTTTGCCACGATTCTTCTTGGGATGAGGCAATGTCATTGTACCAGGATTACGTTCAAAACGACCAACAAACTGTTTCTGCTTTTCTGTGGCTATGACAATAAAATGCTATGTCAAGGGCAAAATAAAATTTCAGTTGTAGGCTAGTTCAGTTATTATCAATCTTCAACTAGAAACTTGAAATGTTTTTATGTTCTGATCTGGTCAGAGTAGGTCATAGCTTATTGACTAAGATATAAAAAAAAACAGCTTCCTGTACTAACTCTCAATTATAAAACATCTTTTTCTTAGATTGTCATGTTGTAATTACTAGAGAGAATATTCATTTTATTACATTAAAACTCATGCATAATTAATAAGTTATTAGCTAGGCCAAGAGAATGAGCCTATTTGGCCACATGCATGGACCTTTATATCTGATAAACACTCCTTATTAGTATTCTTTATTAAGAATACTAATAAAGCCGGTGGTGACCTTTATCAGATAAAAGGTCCATGACCCTAGCAAAGGTCTCAAAGCAGGATGTCCTTCGATTGCAGTAAAATAGCCATCAGCACTTCTATTTTACTTTATGCGAATTCAATGTGGGATGACAAGAGTGCTTTGTAAAGTGATTAGAGCATGATCAGTTTGCCCCATTTATCTCAAAAATATGTATTTTACGGCAATTTCTCCAAGAAKTTTTAACAGRTTTGAGTTTCAATAGTGTTGGAGTTTTTTAAGCCCTTCAAAACACTCAAGATCGTGTTTTATCAGGTACAAGGATGGAGGGGGGTTTTAAACTATACATTAATTTCATATAATAATTATATAATAATATATGTTTTGTAACTCTTTTGCACTTACTTATTCTGTCACTTTCCATTGTATTTGTCTGAAACACACAAAGTCTGTTATCAAAGGATTACTATATAATATGATGATAGCAAGATCAAGATGACTGCAATATTAACTGCAGTGTCATTGAAACCAATTCAAGACATATAATGAAATGTTAGTCAGTTTATTTGATAAAGTTATGTCCCCAATTTACCAAAGTTTGTTTGGGAGATGATGGTAACCTCATCTTGAAGTACATAATTTAATCTATTTTTTTAACTAACTTTGCAAATAAAAAATTGAAAATCTTGTTTTCTCTTCAAATTGATCAGCTTGATGGACTAAAACAAACTTCAAAAACAAASAAACTTAATAATTAAAAGCAAACAAAAATATAGTTCCTCTAGTTCACTTCAGTTTTTAAACAACTACTAACAATGGACTGCCTAGTGATGTCCTAGATAAAAAAAAAGACTCAGACATTTTTCTTCTAACTGCTGAACATGCAATGATCATAAAGTAAAAAGTGTTTTTGACAATAYAAGACATGAGCTTAGAGTAGACCACACTGAGCTTTCATTCCTTGACAGCTTTTACACAACACTAACCGAATGCAAACAAGTACCCAGACCTCTCATTCCTATAGGAACRCATTCTCTTTCCATTTCCATTTGTTAACAAATTCCATTAACAGAAGAAATATAATTCATGTATAATGACCTAACTGAACATAATGCAAATCAAAATTAAACATAGTTTGAAATGTAGACTTTATCAATTTCATGTACACAAAAGTCATGCTTCATGGCACCTCTGAGGCTCAAGTCTTATGAAATCAACACTGTAATTGAARCAACTCTSTGGTTGTGGTTTCAGTAGTATCATCAATACAATGACTCAACACCACTAGAATGAGGATTATGTCATAGAAAAGAGATTCAACATAGCAATGGAAGAAAAACAGGCATGATTGAGAACAAGAACGTACCTCATCAATACACTCCATTAACTCTTCCACAATCATTTTTCTTGATGATTGAGAACAAGAACGTACCTCATCAATACACTCCATTAACTCTTCCACAATCATTTTTCTTGATGGTTCATCAGATGCATTGAATGTTGCAAGAATCTTGAAACAAAGCATACATCAATATCACGACCACTGAATACTCACAGGTATATCAGACATTACAGTTGAGTATTGGTATACATGTATCAAACATGACTATTGAG